ACTGTGATCGAGTCCCCTCTTAACTTTCTCTTGGATAAACAAAATAGATGGAGATTCTTGCATGTCTCACTGTAAGGCAGGGGTCCCAGGTCTTGAATCATTCTTGTAGCTCTTTCCTGAATGCTGTCCAATTTTGTAACATCCTTTTTAAAGTGTGGACACCAGAACCATACACAGTAAAGATCTCACTCATGCGGTATCCAGAGGTAACACCATGTCCCTACTCTGACTTCATAGAATATCAGGGTCGGAAGGGACCTCAGGAGGTCATCTAGTCCAACCCCCTGCTCAAAGCAGGGCCAATCCCCAATTTTTGCCCCAGACCCCTAAATGGCCCCCACAAGGATTGAACTCACAACCCTGGGTTTAGCAGGCCAATGCTCAAACCACTGAGCTATCCCTCCCCCCAGTGACTTGATATTCCCCTGCTCATACATCCAAGAATCACGTTCATCCCCATAGCTACAGCATTGTACTGGGAGCTCATGCTCAGCTGATTATCCACTATGACTCCTAAATCCTTTTCAGAGTCACTGCTTTCCAGGATACGGGCCCCATCTTAGGACTGTGCCCTGCATCCTTTGTTCCTCGATGTATGACCTTGCATATGGCTGTGTTAAAACACATGGGGTTCAAATGAGCCCAGCTACCAAGCAATCCAGGCTGGCTGGTATAACTGACGTGTCCTCATCATTATTACCACTCCAGAATTTGTGTGTCACCTGCAAACTTTACCCGCAATGATTTTAAGATCTTTGCTAAAGATATTGAATAGCATTTGGCCAAGAACAGATCCCACGCAAAACACTCCCAAAGGATAAGGAGTCCCCATTTACAATGACTTTTTGCAATCTATCAGTTAACCAGTTTTTAATCCATTTAACATGGGCTGCACTGATTTTGTATAGTGCTATTTTTTAATCAGATTGCCATGTGGGACTAAGTCAAATGCCTTACAGAAGTCTAGCATATGCTGTTCTAGTCTATATTAATATTTCTGTCTGTGTTATGCACTGGTTAAAGGAGGAGACTGGGAGTCAGCAACTCCTGGCTTTGCCACTGACCCACTGTGTGACCGTGGCATGTCGCTGCTCTGTGCCTCAGTTTCTCCACCCCTACAGTGGAGAGAATGATACTGACCTTTTAAACTTGTATTTGCCGTGGAGCACTCTGAGCCAAACTTTTTCACCTGGGCTTACCACAAGGACAATACCTTTCACTTAGAATGGCTTTAACCAGACAAAAAGAAAAGGAGTACTTGTGGCACCTTAGAGACTAACCAATTTATTTGAGCATGAGCTTTCGTGAGCTACAGCTCACTTCATGATGAAGTGAGCTGTAGCTCACGAAAGCTCATGCTCAAATAAATTGGTTAGTCTCTAAGGTGCCACAAGTACTCCTTTTCTTTTTGCGAATACAGACTAACACGGCTGTTCCTCTGAAACCTTTAACCAGACAGTTTCAAAACTCTTTACAAAGGAAGGTAACTGTCATTCTATTCAGTTTACAGATGGGGGTGGGGCGCAGGCCTACCTAATGAAGTCATGTCTGTAAAATGCTTTGAGACGCTGGGTGAATGGAGCCGGACCAAAGACATGCCAAGGGTCTAGCATCACCGTAGGGGCTCTGCAAGCCCTTCTGTTCTTCACTGGGTCCCTCCCCATTCTGGTTCTGGAGCTGCAGCTCTGGTTTGCCCAGCTTTTGCTGAGGTCAGTAGCTTCCTGGAGAGAGCCAGAGGGCCTCGGATGAACCAGCAGAAGCTGTGAGGGGCCCATTACTCAGCCAGTGAGTCATGACACAAGCTTGCGAGAGGCAGAACACAGCCTGTGCGGACGTGCCCCCCAGGAGAGGTGCCCCATCACGGATGGAGTCTGATCAGGAAGGTGAGTCAAAGGGACGGGATCTGCAAAGGGGCCTGGAGGGGAAGACGCTTCCGGGTCAGCGAGGCTGGAGCGCGCAGTGAAGAGGAAAGCGCAAAGTTTCAGTTTCCTTCCTCCAGTCCTGTCAGAGGTGACACCTCCTTCCCAGCCCTCTGCAGTGACGGAGAGCCTCCCCCGCAATGTGAAGTCATCACTTCTGCCTCCCTCATGTCCCCACTGGGGCCCCAGTCCTGGGTGTGAGAGGAAATGCACCTCCCTGAGGAAAGGGGGGGGTGGCAGGGATGGGTCTTTACAAGGGTTTTGCACTATGTTACCTGCAGTGGTTTGAAACTGGTTTCAAGCCTTTATATTGCATCCACACTAGGGGTTGTACCCCTTTAACTATACTGGTAAAAAAACAGACCCCAACCGGAATTGGTACAAACACAGTGTATAGACTCATGGGTATGCTTGGCACTCTCACGCTTCTCCTCGTCGGCTCATGTTAGCTAATTAATCTTCACCCCACGCCCTGGGCGATGCGTATTTTTGTCCTAGTTTACAGATGGGGAAACTGAGGCACAACGCGGGGCAAGTGACTTGCCCAAGGCGTCAGTGTCAGAGTCAGAACTGGAACTTCCTGGTTTGGGGACTGCCAGAAAACACCCATGGCAGTGAGCCTCAGACCCGGGCTCATGCTATGGCGCTAACGATGGTGGGGTCAGTGTTCCTGCCCAGGCTCTGAAGCCCACCCTCCTCCCCAGGCATCAGAGCCCAGGCGGGAATGTATGGACTGCTATTTTTATTGCTGTAGCGAGAGTCCCACGAGACCGAGTCTGCAGATGCGAGCTCTGAGACTCACTGCTCTGGGTTGGCAATTTTGCAGTCTAGACATATCCTTTGTGGCTCACAGGCCTGGACTCAAACCACGAGGCCATGCTTCTCTGTATACTCCTGGCCCCACTCTGTGGCTCTTGGTGGATGTTCAGAGCCACTGTAGACCGTCATCAGCAGGGGGAAAGGGTTGCTTGAGTGGGGCTCAGCTAAGGCTCAGTCTGAGATCACAAACCATGATGTCAGCGTACGGAAACCCCGCTATGACCCAGGTGAAAGAGGAACCAACACATGCCCAGCAGCGAGGTGTGAAACACACGGTAGTGTTAGCAACCCACCACGGGCGAGACCGGAATGCCGCTGGCACCTGTAACTCCTCCCTGCATGTTCCCTGATCGTGGAACAGGCGTGTTACATGCATGACCATATCAGCACCTGACCTGGTCCCCCAACAACTACCGCCCCAATGTGTGTTGCCTTCTTCCAAGCTCCTCATCACGTGACAAGGGTTCTACCTGTCGGCTCTGAGCGGCAGTGAAAACTGAGGCTCGCCCAGCCTGCTCCTCAGCGGTTCTCCTGCTGGCCTGAGACACCTATTATATCCTGAGGGGGTTGCAGGAAATGTGCATTCTCCTTGGGCCCCGTGGAGCTTCGCACCATCAGGGTAAAGCTTGTCTGTGCTGGAGGGAGAGCTTTCTCAGGGGCCAGTCCAGACTGTGGAATGAACTCCCCCAGGAACTAGAGACCTTCACAAACCTCACCACTTTCTGCTCCAAGGGCCAGGAGAGCTTTTTCCATCATCCTTCTCTAACCAACAGACAGAGCAGTGTGTACGTATTTACAAATTTTTTTTAAATCCCTACCGAACCCTGCGCACACAGTTTCTCCACTGGGGAGAGGACAAGAGAGAAAATGAACCACATGTGACCGCTAGTCACGCTGATTGATGCACTGACTGCTGGAAGGTGCTCCGATGGGGATGCAGGCGGCACAAGAAGCCATCGAGAAAAGAAGAGAAAGTGGCCCTCTGAAATTCCCATCTCCACCTCTGAGACGAGCAGAGGTTGGAGCTGGGCATTGTCCCAGGGCTGGGGGATCCATTCACATGCACGCACCCACATGGCTGCCGTCTCACTGTACACTCTGCTTGTGCGTCTTCCCCCAACTTGTCTCTCTTGTCTATTCAGATTGTAAGCTTTTCGGGGCAGGGACTGTCTGCTACTCTGGGTTCGTACAGCCCCTAGCACAAGGAGGCCACATCCTTAGTTGGCCCTTAGGCACTACCGTGCTCAACACAATTAAACATATACAAATGCACGTGGGCGCACACACAATATACCTGGAGAGAAACACAAACACCCATGTGCACATGCACAGATACATGCAGAGGTACATAACCATCCATGCACAGCCATGCATGTGCAACACACACACGCGCCTAGAGAACCACAGATACAGAAAGACACACAATCCTAGCCGAGGGTTTCTCCATGCCCCCTCGCAGGCTGCCAGGGCTTGGGACCGTTGTGGTCAGCACGGCTCCGGGGAGCATGTCCCTGCAGCACAAAGAGGGAGTTTCAGATGGGTCCTCCAAGCAGAGCAGCTGCCACCAGCTCCAGTCAATTCCCCATTCATCTCAGCACCACCAGAATGCAGACGGGGCCTTAAAGGGACACTGTGCACTTGTCTCTCCTCTGCCCCTCCCCACCTGAAAGACTCACCCTCATCCCGTCTCTGCCCTGCTCAGAATTTTTTGCCCATAAGTGAAACAAATGATACTCTGCCCAAGACTCAGGATGCCCCTAGGAAAGCTCCATCTGCTCATGTCAGAGATCAAGAGCAAAGGATTTAGCCCTGATCCCTTCCCTGGTCCTGCAATGGGATTTGCCACCCTGGCTATCGCATAGTCATCCCTCCATGCAGGCCCTGTCCACAGCCCTGCTAGGTCTCCATCACAGTCGTACAGAACACAGTCGCACCGCTCCATTTGGAGGGGTGGGGTGGGGGAGCCTGGGGGAAATCCAGGCCAGGACTCCAGAGGAAGTTGCTAAGTCTCTCTCCCTGGGCTAATGGGGTATTCCCTGCTCCTCCCTTCTCCTCCCGCTGAGACTCTGTTTAAAACAGGATTCACTGGGTTTGTCTCTGGAGAGCTGGGTGGTGGCCTGGTCCCTCCCAGGACAGGAGGTAGGTGGTTCTCTGCTGACTTCCCCATGGGTGCAGAGCAGGGTGGGAGAAGTGAATGGGACCCAGAAGCTCCCTGGGAGGTATACTGCAAAAGTGCCTCATGGGAATTGTATTCCCCTTCAGGAAAAGTTCCCAACGGCGCCTGCTTGATCCCTGAGACGGAGATGTGACCCCAAGTGGAGCAGCCCCTCCTCTGCTCCCCAGACTCCTCCCCAACACCTCCTGGCTGGGACTGAGGCTTCTGAACAGAGTGGCTCCCTGGGCCTTGGCTGGCTGATGGATGTAATGCTGCTTGCAATAAAAGGGTTGGAAAGCACTAGTGTCGTGTCCCTGACTGCTGTGCCCTGGAGGTGGGCAAATGCAGGAATCATTCGCTGATCAGACGGCGGCACCCGGGATGGGGGGCGTGTGTCAAAGCAGGAGAAGCCATTGATGAGAGCTTGATGGAGGCACAGAACTGCACTGTTTGATCAAGGGCTCTCTCCATCCTCTGCCAGGTGGTAGCCCCTTCTGCTACTTCCCGTGCAGGTACAGCAGGGCAAGGTCCCTCCCAAGTGCATGAGGGAATGCTTCAGGCGAACAGCCTGGCTGTCACCCTGGCCTGGGTGCCGCAGCCCAAAGTGAGTGTAGTCTATCGGTGCGGCTACCTCTCCAGACAGTCAGCCTGTATGTATGCTACAGCATGCAACCTGGGCTTGCTGCACAGCTGCAAATTACTCCCCACTGTGCACCCCTCCAGCACTCCTGGATCCCTGCCAGTTGGGATATTGGAGAAGCATCTGCCAGCATCCCGTTTCTCCTGGGCAGGATTTGGTGTTTAACTTCAAGTCCCATGTAGGACAGACTGATGGGAAATAAGGATCTGCCTGATCAAACCCTGGTCAGAAGAACCCAAATCCTTGTGAGGGTCAAACAATTTTCATTAACTTCCCTGGTCTCCACTCCCCCTTGGCCCAGGCTCATTTGCACACCCAGCTTTCAGAAAGGGGAAGACGTGACATGATACCAGAAGAGGTTCAGCTTCCGGGAATCCTGACCGAGCCAGTATCAGAAATAGTGTGCAGGGGTCTAAGTACAGGACTGCGAGCCAGGAACTTGTGGGTTCTAATCCCAGCTCTGCCACTGACTCAGTGGCCTTGGGTAAGTCACCTCCCAGCTCTGTGCCTCAGTTTCCCATTGGGAAATTGACCCTCACCTCCCTTCTCCTCACATGGCTGTGAGGGTTAATTAGGTGAATATCAATGAAGTGCTGGGATTTCCTGCCCTGTTTCTAGACCTGAAAGCTTAGCTGTTCTGGACCTGAGATTGGGTTATAGGTTGGCCCATTACAAAAGGGGCAGGTCCACAGTGAAATCTTAGTCCCATTAATTCAACAGCAAAATTCCCCATTGACTTCAATAGGGTCAGGGTTTCAGGTCAGAACCAGGCCTCCTGGGAATGGACACTGCCTAGAGGAATGTCCTATTTTCCTGCGTGGTTCAACACAAGGGATCATTTAGCCTACAGGCTTGCTCCAGACCTCTAAGAGTCAGAGTGTGGTGGCTTTAGAACTCAGGGGCTCCTGGTTCCTAGTCCTGTGTTTAGACGATAGTGCCGTGGCTCCTGATGCAGGGGATGTGACATTGGCCAATGTCAAAGCCCTGCCCTGGGTCCACCCAGCACAGGGGAGTTTTTCAGGTCGCCTTCCCTGTCAGCTGTGACCATAATTGGGTGTCTCACAGCAAAGTGCTAACTGCTGTGTCACTTCCTCATTCAAACTGTGCAGAAAATAGGCATGAACAGGCAGTTCTTGGAGCTGCCCAGCGTGACTGCATCTTGGAAAAGCCACTTGGGGAATCCCTATTTCTCCTCTCCTGTGTCACGGGGACTCCCCCTTATTGCTGTGGTCAGCACCCACACACACTGCAAGCTGAGCACAAAAGTAGCCTTTAGCTACTGCACTGTTGACAGCAGTTGTGATCTAAAATCCCCCCCTACCTCTGGGTGCCTGTGGCCCGAGTGCCTGCCAAAGCATCAGCTACTTTGTTAGTCTCTAAGGTGCCACAAGTCCCCCTTTTCTTTTAGCTAGAGCAGTGTTTCTCAACGACTGGTCCATGGACCGGTGCCCGTCCGTGAGATCTCCCTGACTCAGTTTAGGAAGGTAGCAAGCTGGTCCCTAGTAACACAAAGGTTGAGAAACACTGAGCTGGAGCAAACACAGTTTTTGTACCTATATGGCTATGGTGTTTATGGGCATGGGTTTTTACCAGTGCCATGCCTAAGTGTGGATGCAGTGATACCCAGATAAAGATGCCTTATACCCCTGTAAAGCTTAATCCTCTTCCTGAACAGGAATAAACTATACCAGTATAAATATAAACATAACTGCATCCACACTAGGACCATTTTATCTGTTGGACCAGACCAGTGTGATTAAAGAGCTACAACTTGTAGGTGTATGCAAGGCCTTCATTAATTCAGTACAATCCCCCTGCCCTACAGTTCCTGGGGCCTGAGAGCTCCAGCTCCCCACTCATCTCCCGTCACCCCGAAGCAGCCGCTGGATCACATACAGCCGCTCAGCATTTAACCCTTCATTGCAGGTGGACTGCTCCACTTTTCAATGTATTGCAGTACTAGCATGATTTTACACCATTTAGCTTAAACCCCTTCTCAAGCATCATAAACTAAACTGAAAAAAGTCACTTTGATACTGGAATGTAAAGGGTGAGTTATACAAGTGTAATTAGATGGGTTAAATTCACACCTTAGGTTACACTGAAAAAAATTCTCCATTTTGACAGGGCCTTAGAGGGATTTAGCATCAGTCAGTGAGAAATTAACATCAGCGAAGGACTTGTCTACACAGGAAAATTAAACTAAATGTGTTAATTTAATTAGTTAGTAGTTTTTAATTAGTTTAATTTGATTAATTTAATTAGTTTAATTTGATTAGTTAGACCACATTAAACCCCTGTATGGCTAGTGGCCTGAATTTGGTTTAGCACAATTCACTGCCCAAGTAAAAGCAAAACTGAATCAAAGTCATTTTCATTCTGGATAAGAGAGTCCACACAAGGATTTAATGTGGTTTAATTAATCTGCTCTCAAGGGTAATTCAGATTGATTACCTTTTCTGCGTTTTCATTGTGGACAAGCCCTAAATCACTATTGGGCACTCTCAGACTGAAATAAGAGTATCCACATAACAGAGATGCGCTGATTTCTAGATCAGTTTAGTTAAATCAATGCAATTTTCTCACGTAGACAAGCACTGACTCAACCCCTTAGGTTCTGCAGACAGCCAAGGTTAGCGTCTACCCCAAGACCCCAGCCCTGGACTCTGAAACCACCCAACCAGGTCTTTAACTGGCTCCTGGCAGGTAGCCAGGCCTGATGACAGCCCAGACAGTAACTGAACTGTGGGCAATGAACTGGCAAATTAGAGTATCTGTCATAACCCTTTCTATTGTGGTGGCATTAGCACATGGTGCAGTAAACCCACAGCGGAGCGTGATGGGAGCAAGACACCTGTTCGGCCACCCCACAGTTCCTGCCTCCAAACCAAAGCTAGGGCAGAAATGAACAGGGAGGATGGCAGAAGCCCAGAGAGTGCCATGGGAGGCAGGTGGGTCCTTCTCAGCTGCTGTGTTCCATGCCTGGCCCTGTCTTGTTGGTCTGTCTGTCTTTCTCTCCCTAGGGGCAACATTTCTCCAGTTCCCTGAGCAAGTGCTGTGCCTCTCCCATTCCTCATGCTGTGCTTGGGGACCCTTACCCATCACACCTGACCCAGGGCTTCCTGCAACCCATATAAAGGGTGCCTCTGCCCTCCCAGGGCCCACAGCCCTCAGGGGTAACCGCACAGCTGGGGTCGCAGACTCGGTGGCCATACCAATCATTTTTCACTTTAAGAGAAAAGGAAGAGGAAGAATGAGGGTTCTGTGTCTGGGCCGGGCGTCAGCGCTGGGACAGATTCCAGAGATTACAGAAAGGAGAATTCTTCACATCTCCACACTGACCCCCGACCCGCCACCAACAAGTGTCCCCATGTCCTGGCAGCAGCCTGGCGAGTCAAGGAAACACAGGCTGCCTGTGTAGGGGGCTTGGAAAACAACTGCACTAGCTCCGTTTCCAATTTCCACTCCAATAGCAGTGTCTTTCTTCTGTTCCCTTCCTGCGTCTCCCTCACCCTGACTCTCCCTCGCATCTGCTGGGGCCGAGCTCCAGGGACGCTCCAGGGGGGCTGGAGGTGATCGCTGTGCAAGGGACTGGATGGCGGGGTGTGTCGCCAACATCCCCCACACCAGCTGGAAAGGAGGCGGTGAACAGAGACCAACCCAGAACAGCAAGCCCCAGTGACAAACCCGGTTGAGATTTCCCCTCCCACAACCAAGGGCCTCTGGTTCATGGGGCGATTACACCTCTGTCTAGGCCAGCGCAGAGGAATCCCACGAATGTGTCGAGATACCTGGAGCCCAGCCATTCTCAGGCACTACAAGCAGACAGGTTTGTTCTGGGTCATTGTGGCTACGGCGATGAACCAATGAGCAGATGCCTCTGACAGCCTTTGTGCTGTACAGGGCTGCTGGTCCCTGGGGTGCTGGCCCCAGAGAGGGGCTCAAAGACGCAGGGTGAACATGGAGGGAGAAGTCTGTCTAGGGGCTATGCAAATGGTGCAGGATCCCAGCTCCTGTCCACACTGCTTTGCCAATGAGGAAATGCAGAGCTGGGGCTGTTCGAGCTGGCCCTGAAACTGTTGTCCGGAAGAACTGGAATCTCATTCCCTTAAGGGTGGTTCAGGACAGCGGGATGGGGAGAGCAGATGTGGCACGCAGAGCTGGAAGCCTGACCTGGAGAGTCCGAATGGTCTGGCTCCAAGACATCTAGTCTGGGCCCATGAGAGAAGAGCGGCTGCCTAATGGCCTGTGATGGGATGTTAGATGGGGTGGGATCTGAGTTGCCCAGGAAAGAATTTTCTGTAATATCTGGCTGGTGAATCTTGCCCATATGCTCAGGGTTTAGCTGATCGCCATATTTGGGGTCGGGAAGGAATTTTCCTCCAGGGCAGATTGGAAGAGACCCTGGAGGTTTTTCGCCTTCCTCTGTAGCATGGGCCACGGGTCACTTGCTGGAGGAGTCTCTGCTCCTTGAAGTCTTTAAACCACGATTTGAGGACTTCAATAGCTCAGACATAGGTGAGATTTTTCGCAGGAGTGGGTGGGTGAGATTCTGTGGCCTGCGTTGTGCAGGAGGTCAGACGAGATGATCATAATGGTCCCTTCTGACCTTAGTATCTATGAATCTACGAATCTATGCTGGGCTCTGGATCTGGTCTTC